CCCACCATGTCAGCTGATCGTTGTTCTGTGCAGGCTGGCTTGACTAGTGTGTTGTAGTTGGAAGATCTCAAAACTGTTTAAATGTTGACAACGAATTTTGTTTTTTTAGTCAAAAAATTGTATTCCGCATTTTTTTCACTTCTTTTTACAGCCATCGCCAGTGTCTTTATTTCCAAAATTTTCATCATCCTTAATCAAAATTGGTACCCCTTAAGCAGTGTACCTCCTCCCATTCAACCTAGTAATCACTATTAAACTATCATGTCTATGTTTTCCTATATCAGATAAGTAAGTGGGATCATATAATATTTGTTCTTTTGTGTCAGATTTCGTTTCCTCAGCATACTGATTTTTTGGGGGTTCACATCCATGTTATAGCATGTTTCAGGACTTCATTTCTCTTTGTCCGTTATATGTATAGTACACGTTTCTTTCCCCAAACCTTTTTAGCTAATCCATTCCATAGTTTAGTAATATCAAGCAGTGTTGTACAATCGCTACCACAATCAGTTTCAATATATTTTCTTCCTTCTTGAACTCCTCTATATTAACTCTACCCCCCTACCTTTCAGGAACCCTTATTTTAGTTAGTGTCTCTCTAGATTGACCTATCCTGAGTTTCATTTACCAAAAAAACACCCAAAAATAACAATCAAGAAGGCTACCAACAATGACAAAATACCCAGAAAAAGTCACAGAAAATATTTAAAAACCAGATCAAACACAAAGTATATCATAAGGGAGATCAAATGGCATAGTTTTACCAATCAAGTCAGAGTTAACATTTGAATCTACCATAGTTGTTCTCTCCAGTACACTCTGCCTGATAGCCAGGTTAGTCTATCCCTCAATGATGATCAGAGGGAAATCAACCGAGGCTTATTTCCTGTGTAGATCCTGCAAATGCATTTTGGGCTTGTGTTTCCATCCATAGCCTCTGCACAGCACCAACTCACAATTTAAGTTCTGCTACTCTTCCCTCCTTTGGATTTGGGTTATATAGTTTACAATCCTTGGATCACGGTGTTGGTGTACTTCTTCACGTGGGCTTAGTTGATGTCCAGAAAGAGCACATTCCCTCCTCCGACTGTTGTAAATAACGCTGCATCCTTTTACAACCTCACTTAGCAATGAATGAGAGTTCCAATTTTTCACCATCTTCATCAAGACCCTTTATTTCAGATATTAACTAGTCTAAAGAGAATAAAAAGTGGTATCTCATTGTGTTTTTATGTTGCAAATGCAACATCACTGAGGAGCCCTAGTGATGTTCTAGGTTAAGTGTTAAAGGTTGACTGCTAACTTTAAAGTCGGTGGTTCACACTCAGCAGTTACCTTTTGGGTGAACAGTGAGGCTGAATGCTTCTGTAAAGATTTGCACTTCAGACACCCCATGGAGCTGTTCTCTGTTCTGTCGGGTTGTGAGTCATACTCTAAAAGGAAAGCTGATGAAATTATCTTACAGCTAACCTGGATTTTGTTTATTTTAATGAAGGAACTAGAAGATCTTCTACCATCTAGACCAGACGTTCCTAACGTAATTGGAGACACCGAGGAGGTAGAGCTTCAAGAATTTGATAGCACTCGGGGCTCGGGAGGTGGTCAGAGGCGTGAAGCCTATAATGATAGCTCCGATGAGGAAAGCAGCAGTCACCATGGACCTGGAGTACAGTGTGCCCATCAGTAAACTGCAAACAAATGCACAGGTGGATTTTATTTCCACGTTTACCTGATTTGTTTTCAGCGATCTAGCTGGAGTGTCTGATCAATCCAGATGAACTGATGGACATCTGTTGGTCTATGTGTAACTTTTAAAATTGGTATAGTATCTACAGAGTGTATAATTTAAACTAACCACAAGCTTTACATCTTCAATTCGACTGTTCTGTAGCAGAATAAAGCACTTGAAAGGAAACAAGACTCCTTTCATACCTGGGTTATACGTTTCTGATAATCTGTGCTTGATTTTTTTCCCCCCAGTTTTGTGTAGAATTTATGTTTCATATTTTAAAGTCAAATCCCACATTGTAAAAGTTTGTGTACAATTTGTCTTGAAGCTTTGTGTTTGGCTGCACCTGCATAAGCTGCTACAAATAGAATAAAGAATTTCATAGCCTGTATCTATCGTTTAGATGCATGGAAAATGGGCTTTGCACACGGTGGGTTTGGAGCTGACTGGGAACAGTGGGGAAAATTACATTAGCTGTGGTTGTAAAGTTTTGATTTCTTTTTTCTAAGCCATTTTGTGAAAGGTTTCTGGAACTCGATAATAAAAAGCAGTTGGTGTAAATTAATTTTTTGTGTCACATTTTTAGAACAGATTTTGAACTGTCAAATGTAATACTTAAAAACTGGATAATGTTTCCTTGGTTCTGGTTCTTAAATAGCCTCTTAGAAGCCCATTGACCTGATTTCTTAAGCACTTGCCCATTTGATAAGCTTAAAAGACAAAAAGGATATATTTTTTAATGTTGATAGGAACAGGTTTTATTGGCTTTGATTGATGCTAAGTTACGTCACTCCTAAATTATCCTGAGCTTTGGGGCCAAGCTAACGTAGGCCTCTGGGTCTCCACCACCTTAAGGTAACAGCAAATCAATAGTAGAACCATGTCTGTATAGAACCTACTTAAGATGCTCTGTGTTCATTAAATGTTAAGTTGAAGATTCTTTGTCTTCATTAAGTTGGATATTTGAAAATGGGAGAAGTAGTGATTGTTACTAATATTAGAAAAGTAAGACTCATAGGCTGGTATGAGAATCAGGTAAGATGACTATGAAAATATTAAGTTTATCTTTGCATCTTTTGATTATTACCTTCTTTTCATTCTCAGATATTATTAAAACTTTATTTGAGGGGAAAAAGGAAAGGCAGTTGTGTATTTTACATATGTAAAAGGACAAGTGGGAAAAACTAAAAAATTTAATTGTATTATGCTATCTCTGACCCTAAATGTAGGGCTTGTAGTTAATTTCTACAATTGTTGGAACCAGAATTTTAAAAAGATGTCCTAATACTAATGAAGGCCTGTGAGTTTTAAATTATTGCCCTATCCACTCTACCTCCATTGTACAAAAGATAATTCACAACCAATCCGGGCAAGATTCAATAGCATAGTAGTTTTGTATTCAAAGTTATTTCCCCACGACCACTATAAAACATGAGAAATGCAGTGGCAATATAAAATTTGTAGCCTTTCCAATAAAGGTTTATAAAACATTAGAATCGTTCAGTGTAGTCTTTATTTCTATTCTTTTGCCTGGTCTTTTGACTATACCAAAGAACCATTTTCAAGGGGGGAAAAACAACTGTTGAGATCTATTTCAATTAATTCTACTTAGAGCTCATTTATCGCCCACACAGTTTTATAACAGCATTCTTGAGATATAATGTACATGCCCCCAAAAATGCCATTTAAAGTGTATAATCCAGTGACTTGTAGGATACTCATTACTGAACTGCCACTATAATTTTATATTTCATTACCCCTAAAAGAAGCCTCATAGCCATTGGTAGTTACCCTATATTCCTTTCTTTTATTAGTCCTTGTGCAATTATCAACCAACTTTCTAAGGATTTGCCTATTTTGGATATTTTATATAAATAGAATTTAGCAAGAGACCTTTGTGACTGGCCTCATTGTGTTTAGCTAGCACGTGAGTTCACAAATTTATTTGGCCTTCCACCCCCTTTTCAGGAAAAAAAAAAAGTTCACACACCTCCCAAATCCAGGCAATTAAAGTTTTTGTACCTATAGCACATAAGCCAGAAAAATATATAGCTATTTGCTTTTGCAGCCTCCCTGGTAATACTGATCTAGCATGATGTTTTTAAGTGTTGCCGCTCTGCAGATTTGTTGTTTTTGTGGGGGTAAATGTTTAATTCTTGGGTATATAAAGGAGTTTCAAAGTTTAGAAAAATGGCATTAAAAGGTGGGAATTTTTGAGGAACTGCGGAAATTCCATAGTGGCTAAAATGTTTTACATCCCTACAGCAGTGTGCAGTGTTTGATGGCTCCACTTTTTCCACATCCTCACCATCACTTGTTCATCTTTATTATTATAGCCACTCTGAAGGTTGTAAACCCAACCCAACACAATCCCCTTACCATTAGATGGTTCTGCCTCATTGGGGCCCTGTGTAGGGTTTCTGTGTCTGTATTGTCATAGGAACAGAAGACCTCTTTCTCCCTCTAAGGGGCTGTGATTTTGATTGCCAATCTGTGGTTAATAGCGTATGTAACACTTCACCTGACAGTGGTACACCATTTCCTTAATAACTATTGATGTGTTCATTGACAATTTCTACATCTTTAGAGCAAAGTCTGCAGATCCTTTCCTCCCTTTTTAAATTGAGTTTGTATTGTTGAGTTACAAGAATACTGTTTATATTTTTGGTGCAAGTTCTATATTTGTTTACTCTTAACCTATTTGTTTACTTAAATGCATGTTTTACTCATAATCTCTGAGCTTTATCTAATATTCTTTATCTGTTCCAGGATCCCATCCAGGATTACACATTACATTAAATCATTGTATATTTTTAGGTTCATCAGGGTTAGAACATTCTCCATCTTTTCTCTATTTTGGTGACCCTGATAGTTATGAGGTATCCAGTTCTCACATTTTGTGGAATGTACCTCTGCTAGGATTTATCTGATGTTTCTTTATTAGACTAAGGTTATGTGCTTTGGGCAGTAAAGCTGCAGTTGTAAAATGCCATTTTCATCACACGTCAAAGGTACTTGCCATTAACAACTTCTTAATAATGTTGATGTTCATCTTGATAACCTGCCTGATGGAAGTATTTATCAGGTTTCTAAACTGAATCTGTTCTTTTCCCCCTTTCTGGACCTTTCTCTGGAAGGAAGTCAGTGTGTTCAGCCCACAGTTGTGGGATTGGGAAATTCTACCTTCTGTTTTTAATGCTACTTACACATGGAGTTTCCAAACAAACGACTTGACATTTTACACAGGCGATGCTTCCTTTCTCGTGGGCTTCTGGATATCTAGCTCAGCACCCCAAAAAACCCCAAACTACCCACATCTTTCCTCCCCTCCAGTCCCTGACAACCACTTCTCTCTCTTTAGCTTTTTCTAGAATTTCTTAAGCACGGGTGCTTCAAAAAAGTTCATGGAAACATTCCATTATTCCATTTTCCCATGAACTTTTTGATGTCCCCGCGTAATTGAAATACATGTAACCTTTTCGACCTTGCTTCTTTCACTTAGTGATATGTCTTTAAATATAATCCATGGGGGGGGGGGTTGTTGTTTGTTTTTGATTTTTAATCGTTTTATTGGAGGCTCACACAGTGCTTATCACAATTCATACATACACCCCCATTTGGTCAAGCACATTTGCGCATTTGTTGCCATCGTCATTCTCAAAACATCTGCTTTCCACTCAAGCCCCTGGCATCAGTTCCTCCTTTTTTTCCCTCCTTCCATGGGTTTTTTTGTAAACAGTTCTATTGGGACTTAATTCATATTTCAAACAATTCAATAGTTGAAGCACATCAAGAAGAGTTAGTTGTGCAATGACCACTAATCTGTGGCCTTTGGTGGCGTGATAGCTCATTTGTTTTTATCACTGAGCAAGATTTTATTGCACAGATGCACCACGGTTTAGCCCTTATCAGATGCTTCGTTTGTAAATATGGTCTTCCGTTCTGGGGTTTATCTTTTCACTTTAGTAAATAGTGTTTATTGAAGAAGAGTTTTTTAGTGTTTTGGTTTTTGTGTGTGTGTGTGTGTGTGTGTTTTTCTTGTTTTAGCTTTAATTCATAATTATTTTGTCACTGTAATTTTTATGTCATACAAAAGATTTTATCCAATGTGTATAACACTATACTAGAGATGACTTGATATTGATTATAATAGCTGCTTTTTGTAATTATATGCAATACTTTTTGGCTCTGAGAAGGGGATAGAACCTTATAGATCCCATCTGGTGAATGGGAATTTACTTAGGAAATGCATATGAAATTGCTATTAAACAGTTATAACAATTAGAGCCCTGTATTTTTTTGCCTCCAGAAGTACTGATTTTCTCTTTGTTTTCTTACCTCTCCCTGACAACCCAGTTATTTGTGCTTTACAGACTAAATTAGGTTCAGAAACTAAACTTCCTTTTTAGGCTTTAATAATTATTTGTTACTTTTTACAATCATCTAACCTTGTCTAACTTCACAAATCCGGGAGGAGAATCATTAGCATCAACTGCCCAAGGCGATGAGGAAGGAGTCAAGATGCCTGTTTTACCAGTTCTGACACCAGCTGTCTGTCCAGTATCCCCCTTTGCCCTGCAAGGCACCCTACTCTTCTGTGTTAGAAATTGCATTCCAGTAGCTACACAACTCACAAACCAGCCATACTCACAGTTACAGGGTGGATTGGGAGAAAGGTTAAAATTCAAATTAGGAACAATTCAGGATACAGTTCTTTTATCAGGAGAAACTTCTCAGCTGTACTAGAGGACAAGCCTCTCTCTGACACTCATCCTTTTGACCCCTCATCCCATCCCAGCCTCTGTCCTGCTCAGGCAGTTGTTCAAAAGCTCCTAACTTCCACCTATAAATCCCCACAGGTACTCCACTCTCTCAGCAAGCCTCCCCTTGAAGGCTCCTAGCTTTTTCCTTTGCTGGCTGGGAGGCCTCTGCTGCCAGTCTTTTGGTTCTGCCACCATTTCTCTGCTACTGCTGCTTGCTGCCTCACACTGTTCCTGGAGCTACAACTCTGTGTATTCTGGGTCTAGGAGATTCTCCGTGCAAGGATCCTGGGTTTGAAGGATGTGCTACACTCTTGGTTGTAATGAGGTCCCCACAGTCAGCCTGTAGGGTGGCTCATTTTAAGCCTATAAGGGGATGGCAAAACTGACAGATAATCCTCATTAGGTTTCTGTACACATTGTTTGGTCCCTACCCCACAAAGGGTACTTAACATATATTATTATTACCAAGTTATCCAATCCCCTTAGAATCCCTGGGGATGTGGTTATGTGTAGGACTGCTAACCATGGGTCCGCAGTTCAAAGCCACCAGCCACTCTGGGAGAGAAGGCTGTCTACTCCCATAAAGAGTTAGTTTCAGAAACCCACAGGGACAGTTCTACTCTGTCCTATAGGGTCTATGAGTTGGAACAACTCAATGGCAGTTGGTTGATCATGAGTACTTCAGTTGTATATAGGGTTGCTATGAATAGGAGCCAACATGATGGCACCTAACAAGAAAACAATCTAGTCGTTTGGTGGGAGTCAGAAGACCAGGGCAAGAAAGACTATTTAAAAGTAAAGC